TTTAGAAGCTATCATAGTTGTAGTGAAAGCGCTCGCGGTAGGCCCACTTCATGTGCGGCGAGTTGAGCCGAAGGCGCCGCCCCACCGGCTCCAGGTCGCCGTAGCACCGGTCAAAGACGCCGTCGATGATTCGGACGCCCTCGGCCACCGGAAAGCCCTTGCGGACTGCGAGGAGAGAGGCGAGGGCCTTCGCCTTGACGCACTCTCGGTGGGTGTTCCCGAAACGACGAAAAGAGGTCGTCCCCGTGAAGAAGGAGCTGGTCATGCTGCAGTGGACGAGGTTCGCTGCGCGGATCTATTTTAGGAAGGGGTGATGAAAAAGAGGTTTTTAGTTACTTTAGGGTGCTCTAAATGGGCGAGCAAGTGTGTGTGTACCTCTGAGCAGGCAATGTGCTCCAGATTGGCAAAGTCCATCTTCGCGCGGCAGTAGTCGAACATGTGAATCAGCTCGTGGCTGATCACCGCCGCGGTCATCTCCTCGGTGTAGACGCGGTTCTGACAGACGATAATCTGGTTCTCCAGGGTGTCGTAGCCGCCGGTCACCTCCTCGGAGCAGTTCTCGCAGACGATGTGCCGGCTGAGGTCCAGTTCGCTGGTTGAGGAATTTCGAAATTAAGAAACATCGGTTTGTTTGTTTGTTTGTTTTGATCAACTCCACTCACCAGCCCTTTGACTTTAGGGCGCTCATCAGCAGCTTCACCAGTGGACCTAGAAGTGGGAGTTTGGAGGGTCATTTAGAATTTGGAAAACAGAAATATCATCAAACTTACTCGACTCGACCACCTTGGCGATCTTCGACAGGCAGCGCACCTTGATGAAGGCCTCGCCGGTGGCCAGTCCTCGCTGAGAACCGGTGTCCAATCGTTTGCAGGTCGACGAGGTTCCCACCGAGGTCTCCGGTCGGTCGGGGTACACCTGCGCCGAGATGTCCTCGAAGTGGATCACATTTGGTGGTGGTGGTGGTGATGGTGATGGGGGTGAATCTTTGGTGATCTTAGGCGACGATCTACTTTCGCACTTTGCTTCAGTGGAAATGTTGCCCATTCTTCAAGAAGAAGTGCTGATGGTGATGTGCCCCGGTGATGATCTGACAATATGAGGTGAAGTTGTGATCACCACAGTGGCCTGAATTTTTTACTGATAAAGAAAAGGTCGTACGGGGAGCAGCAAAGCGATGTAAAAAGCAGGGTGATAAAAATCGTTGCTGAAAAATAAAAAAAATCACATCAAAACAAAAGAAGCATGCGAGCAAAGAGCGACGACGGCGGCCGTTTTGTACGCTGGAAGTTGTTTATTTTTTTCTTTTTTGAAGGTTTGTACGATACGTTGTGTTGTGTTGTGCTGTTTTGTGTGTTTGGTGGTCATTGTCATTATCGTCCCTTTTTTTTCTCCATCCGTTTTGTTGAAGCAGAAGTTCTCTCAAGAAGCTTTCACCGAAGTCGAAGCTACGTTTTCTCTTCCTCCTTCTTCTTGGCCTCTTCTTCCTCTTTCTTCTCTTCATCTTTCTTTTCCTCCTCGTCCTTCTTTACCTCCTTCTCCTCTTCTTTTTTCTCTTCCTCCTTCTTTTCCTCCTCTTTTTTCTCTTCCTCTTCTTTTTTCGCTTCGCCATCCTCACTTTTTGAGCCTTCCTTTTCCCGATTCGTCACGCCCGATCCGTCAACAGCATCAACTTCTTTGGACTTTTCCTCCTCCTTCTTCTCCTCTTCACTCTTGGACTTTGCTTCTTCAGTGGACTTTTTGCCAGCACTTTCATTGGTAGACTCCTCAAAGGTCGAAGTGTCGTCAAGGTCGCCCTTGCCTCCTTCAGCTTTGGACTTTTCTTCATTTGAAGAGCTTTTGCTTTGCTTTTCAATGTCAGATTTTGATGCTGACTCACTTGAAGATTTACCTTCAGTCTCCTTAGACTTTGAAGTCGAGGAGGACTTTGAGACTGAAGACGAAGTAGTTCCACNCTTCTTCAGCTTTGGACTTTTCTTCACTTGAAGAGCTTTTGCTTTGCTTTTCAGTGACGGACTTTGCTGCTGACTCGCTTGAAGATTTACCTTCAGTCTCCTTAGACTTTGAAGTCGAGGAGGACTTTGAGACTGAAGACGAAGTAGTTCCACTTTTGCTGGACGACGAGGACTTTCCACTTTCAGTAACCGAGGACTTGCCACTGACCGACTTTTGCTGCTGACTTTTGCTCAGACTGCTGCTCTTACTTTGACTTTTTTGGCTGGTGCTCTTTGAAGAGGAGGAGGACGACTTTCCTTCAGTTGTTGAAGACTTGGAAACGCTTTTGTCAGTCGTCGACTTGCTCTTGCTCTTCTCTTCACCGGAAACACTGCTCGAAGTGTCACTTTTGCTCGCACTTTGACTCTTCGAAGTCGAAGAGGAGGAAGAAGATTTTTCATCCTTGGTGGTGGTGGTAGTGGACTTTCCTTCTGAAGAGGACTTTTCCTCTGAAGATGAAGAAGAGCTTTTGCTCGTTGATTTACCACCATCAACACTGCTTTTACCTTCTTTGCTCTTTTCAGCCGAGTTTTNAAGAGCTTTTGCTTGTTGATTTGCCATCAACACTGCTTTTACCTTCTTTGCTCTTTTCAGACGAGCTTTTGGAGCAACCTTCTGAAGATTTGCTGCTGCTGGACTTTGCCACCGACTTGGACTTGCTTGATTTAGAAGCCGATGTGCTTTTGCTTGATTTAGAAGTGGACTTTGCTGCCGAAGATGATTTGGAAGACGTTGACGTGGCGGCGGACTTGTTGGTCTTTGAAACCGACTTTGACTTTTCCTTTCCCTTGCCTTTATCTTTGGCCTTCTTTTTCTTCTTCTTATTCTTTTCATCATCATCACCTTTCTTTTTCTTCTTATCAACACTTCCTTTTTTAGCCTTGCTTTTCTTGCCTGCTGCTGAAGACTTTTTGTCCTGCTTTGAAGTGGTTGAAGAGTTGCTACTTTCATTTGATGATTTGCCTGCTGAGGAGGACGACTTTGCCGAGCTTTCAGAGCTGGCCGGCACCTTAACCGAAACTCCGCTGTTTCCGGTTGAAGAAGAGGATTTCTCTGTTGATTTGGAAGCCTCAGAGCTGGCCGGCACCTTAACCGAAACTCCGCTGTTTCCGGTCGATGATGACGATGATGATTTCCCCGAAGTGGACTTTGACTTTTCTCCTTCTGAGGAGGAGGGTACCTTGACGGAAACTCCACTATTTCCAACAGCTGAAGATGATGATTTACTG